TAAAACCTACCTGGTCTGCGTGTATAAGTGAGTTCAGTAACGGGTTTAATCTATCCACTTGTATTCTCGCTAGGATCTTCAAATCTTGGTTAATTAGCGAGATGGGCCTGTAATTTGCGGGCTGGAGTGGGTCCTTTCCCGGCTTAGGCAGTAGCACGATAGTGGCAAGAGACATATCGGGGTCTAGACTCCCTCCGCACCTCAGGTTGTCAAAAAGCCTCACCAGGCGAGGTGTAAGCTCTTTCCCAAAGGTCTTGTAGAATGTGCCATCGAATCCGTCTGGTCCCGGTGCTTTGTTACCTTTCAGGCCCAATATGGCTCTATCCACTTCTTCTTTGGTGATTTCTGCCGCCAGACCATTCACCACCTCCCTATTTAATTTTGTCATTCCTAAGGCATCTAGATATTTTAATATATGTTCCTCTTCTTGCTCTTCTTGAGTATTCCCCTCCGGTGTGTGATGGTATAGACGTTTATAATACTTCTCAAAGACCTCTGCTATGTCTGTCGGCTTTGATTTTTGTCGTGCCATCTGGGTGTCTTATGGCCGTGATATGAGACTATTCCTGTCTGGCTCGAAGCGTCCTGGCCAGGAGAGTGTTTGCTTTTTTGAAAAATGCACATTTTGACCATACCATGGACCTGGCTGTTTCGTCTAACAACAGTGTACGGATGATTCTTCTCACTGCTTCTAACTGCCTGTAGATCTCCCCATTCGGGGTCGTTTGGTGTTTCTGTTCAAGGGTTCTCAGTTGTCCCAATAGGGCCTCCAGCTTTTGATGTTTAATTTTCTTCCTTCTGTGGCTAACTTGATCAGTGTTCCTCACACCACTGCCTTATGTGCTGCCCACACCGTACTCACGCTTACCTCCGGGGTGTTGTTCATGTTGAAGTATTCTATTATCTCTTTCCGGATCTGTTCTACCGCCTCCGTGTCCCGCAACAAGGACGTATTCAAATTCCACGTCCATGGGGATGCTATGCTGCGCATAGGTTGCCCAATGTGATGAAGACGTCTGCGTGGTCCGACCACGATATGTTACCTACCTGTGACCCCACAATGCGGGACACGCCCGTAGCGTTTGCCAAGAAAAGGTCTATAAATGAGTATGTTCCATGAGGAGCTGAATAATAAGTATAGTCCTTGTTTCCCGGATGGTGAGCTCTCCATACATCTATCATCCCCAGGCCCGGACTGGCCATCGGGCACACCGGGCAAATCACAGGATCTCCCCTGGCAGCAGGATCTCCCCTGCCAGCCCCTGCAGGGCCAGCGCTATCCAAACGCCGGCCCTGCAGTAGTCCATGGCGGGCTGGTGGGGAGATCAAAGATCTCCCTCACAGGCCCACATACAGTATACTGCGGCCGGTGGGGAAGAGGATGAGGGAGCCAGGAGAGGAACCCAGCGGAGCTCTAACGTGCAGCTCCGCCGGATTCCTTTCGCGAGATTCGGAGCATTGCCATGGCAACGCTCCAAGTCTCGCGTGAGTGAACTATAGCCCCACAGGCTAGAGTTCCCTCACCACTAGGACCACCAGGCATGGCAGCAGCAGGATTCCCCCCTCACAGGCATAAGGTAAGCAGGGAGGGGGGAAATAATCACCCAAGTCACATCAGCCTCACTTGCTCCACACACACACTGCACCCCTGACACTCACAGCACCCTCACTCATACACACACACTGCACCCCTGACACTCACAGCACCCTCACTCACTCGCACACTGCACCCCTGACAATCACAGCACCCTCACTCACTCACACACACTGCACCCCTGACACTCACAGCACCCTCACACATACACACACTGCACCCCTGACACTCACAGTACCCTCACTCACACACACTGCACCACTAACACTCACAGCACCCTCACTCACACACACACACTGCACCCCTGACCACAGCACCCTCACTCACACACGACACACACTGCACCCCTGACACTCACAGCATCCCTCACTCACACACACACACTGCACCCGACACTCACAGCACCCTCACTGACACACACTGCACTCCTGACACTCACAGCACCCTCACACATACCCACACTGCACCCCTGACACTGACAGCACACACACACACTGCACCCCTGACACTCACAGCACCCTCGCACACAGCTTACTCACATGCACATAGCACCCTCACTCAAACACAGCACCCATCACACACAGCACCCATCACGCACACACACACACACTACACCCCTTACACACACACTGCACAATATGCTTCCCTAGCATTTTTGTCTCCTGGTATCCCATCTATGGAGACACCAGAGACAAATTTCAAGCAAACACAGTGCAAGCATGTTATTAAATTCGCTTGCGCTGTGCAGAACAAATACAGGGTATTTTTCTCATGCTAGACCTCTTCAGCAGAGCTCTGCGCATGATCTACCCTGGAAAAGCATTGAACCAACATGCTCACTTTGTGATGAGATGTGCTTGTCATTGGTGATGACAAAACACACCCTATCTGGCCCCGCCTCCTTTTAAGTGGGCCACTGTAATAAAAAAATGCCGGGACGAATTTTCTTCCCAGTCCGGCCCTGATCATCCCTGTTTCGACAATAAATTCTCTGAGCAACCGGTCCTGTCTGCCTCTCCCCTGGGACCTTGGTACTCCGTCTTTTGAGCTCCTGTCAGCAGCTGGGCATGGGGCCGCATTAAAATCAACCCCCATTAAAGCCATGCCACGTGGCAACGCTGAGATTTTATCCCTCAGCGTGTGCCAGAAACTGGAGTCCGGCTGGTTCGGCGCGTAAATATTTATCAGATGAATGGTGTGTGAATGTAAGGTGCCTGACACTATAATGTAACGGCCCTCTGGGTCAGCCTCTAGGGCTGTCAACTGGAAGGGACAGCTGTTACTGATAAGAATGGCCACCCCGTTACATTTGCGGTGGGACCTAGCTTCATATGATCCCCGTATAGGTGCGATCTCGTAATCTGAACTTGGTCTGTTTAGGTATATGAGTCTCTTGAATGTACGCAATATCTGATCCCATTCTCTTCAGTTCCCTGAACATGAGACGGCGCTTCTTAGGGCCGTTACGGCCCTTAACATTCAATGTAGCGATCTTGATCTCCATTGTGTGTTATTTTTCGTCTCTACCGTATGACTTTGTCACCCTTGCTTTTTCAGACTGCTGTAAGCTATAGTCTTCCACGACATTTGGTCTTGCCACCCAAACTGTAACCCTCTCGTACCTTGCTGTCGGGCCCGGGTCATCCCCCAGCCCCACCCCCGAGAAAAAAACCCAGCCGCTCCCTAGAATAAGAGAAAGGAAAGAAAGAAGAGAGAAAAGAAAGAATGTATTAGAAAGGATCCTGGGCATCAGGCGATGCCCAGAAAATCTGGTCTTACCCATCGCCAGATTCTTGTGGGGAGCACGTTGCCACATCTCCTCTAGAATCACGCTGGGAGGAGCTGTGGATCACAGAGCCCTGCCTCTTACACGCCCTCCCTTCTCATAATTGACCTCTAAGTGCACTTCAAAAACCTTTTGGTATATCCCCACCCTGTCCCTCTCTACCGACCACCTCCTTCAGATACTCGAGTCGGTTTCTTTACCAGGGTACCTGTTTGTTACCCCCTCCACACATTCCATCGCCCTAGCTTGGGGTAGTGGAATCGTTTGTAGCCAGTGCCTACAGTAAAACTCCTCTATCTTGGGGTGTCTGCGTGGGTATAATGCCCCGGTATGAAGTCATAGGCCATCTCATAGTACATAGTAATCCTTTCCAAGAAACTATATTGTCCTCCATAACTCCATTATACAGTAAAATTATATACAACCATATTCTAGCCCAATACTTCAAATAGTCAGGTGGCCCGCCGTTTCCACTTCTGTTGAAATCTTATTTGTTTGCCATAAAACAAGGTCCTTTAATGTCAATTCTGAACATATTTTTATTCCCGAGTTGCATTTAGTGGCTGAGAAAAGTAATTTGACACTCTCAGCCAATGAATGGCCAGCCAGGTTAGCACTGGGCTTTTTTCAGCTCGGCAGAAACCAGATGAATGCGGAGAACCCTCAGTGCCCAGTGGGGACCCAATTAAAAAAGGCAAACCGTTGCAAAACCTTCTCACTGATATGTCAAGAAATAAGTAATGTTTCTTTGCTTGCCTCCCTACATTTACATAGGCAAAGAAGGACATGTTTGTTCTATGGGGAGGTGTAGTCAGGGGGTGTAGTCAGGGGGCGTGACCTTCTGTGAATTTTTTGGTAGATTACTAACTTCTAGGTGCCCTTAATGCAGTTTAAAAACATATTACTGTGAGTGTTCACATCATCTAGTTATTTCTAAGTCTTGTATATATCATTTATTTGAAAAGAAGAAAAAAAAAGCTAAAACTAAATTAACACCGCAATACAAATGAGAGACTCGTGGATTTGGGTTTCCAATAGTTTGGCTATGCTAAAGAGGAACACTATGGCAAGAGGTAAAAACTCCAGAAATGTTGACCAATCTTAAAGGGACACTATCGGCAACCAGATCGCTATGTCTCATTGCTATAGGAGGCGAACAGAGAGACCTCCTGTGCTTAGACTGACAGCTGGGAAAAAACATTTTTTCAAAACTGCTAGTGCAATGTATAGATACAATCTTATGCTCAATCTAATGAGCTAAAATTATTTGGTATAAACCGTGTATATACTATAATTTGGATTTAAGTGAATAGCTTTGTTTGAATTAACTTTACATTTCTGGCAGTATACACTTCAGCAGTATTTTTATTTTATTTTTATTTTTTTTCTGCTTCCTTAATTTAACCAAAAATTTGTAGTTATTACTAAGCCAAATGTAGTTAATATATTCTATTCGTTAGTCAGTCTTCACATGACCCGGTTACTACGGGGGTGGGTTAACGCGTTTATTGAGCTGTTGCACGTACACATTGGCGCAGATGCACAACTCCCCATCAAATACACCACGTCTAGCCTGCTGAAACCTGGCACTTTGCCCAACTCCAAAATGGCCGCCAGGATCTCGGAGCGCAGCCAACGCCTCAAGCGAATGGAGATGCGAAAGCGCCTCCCACTCGCGGTTTTTGCTGACAGCCCCAGCCATTTTGAGCTCAGTTGTCGGCGGACGTTGTAGAAGGTGGTGGTTTGGAGAGCTGTTGTTGCTTGTGTTGTCTGTAATCGGGCTTTGGTTTCATTGTCTTTGAAATCGCAAGCTAACCCCTTCCGAGAGAACTTCTATCCTAGACGTCTGGTTTCTATTTAGATGGCAAGCTTTCCCGATTTTGTAAACGAAAATGAAATAGGTGGGTATGCAGCTAATACATACTTGGAAACAGGACTCTGACACTGTGATCAGCTTTCTTTGTGCAGTGGAGGAAAAATGTAATGGTAAAAAATAGCAGAGTCACTGTGCGAGCACAGATCTACACCCATACTCCCTATAATCTACCCTTATAATACATATTATTATAATACTTTACTGGCAAGGAAGGGGTTAAACACCCATATATATCAATTTATTTTAATAACCAAGTGCTTGCTCTAAATGGGGAGTGAATAGATCACTGCTGTATTGACCATGTGACCCAGTACATTCTTCCTTGATGAGTGATGTGTGTGTGTGTGTGTGTGTGTGTGTGTGTGTGTGTATATATATATATATATATATTTCCCTTTCTCACGACTTTCTTTAGTAGATAGGGAGAGTGTGTCTGGTGGGTTTTTTTTAAAATTATTATTATTATTATTTATTGAGATTATAATCCACATTTTAGTCCCTATGGAACCTTTTGGGGAGGATAAAGATGAACTAATATTCCATGTTCCTTTTGCATGCTGCTCTGTGTTCTTTTCTCCCCAGCTGCTCTGCTTAGTCATTTGGTGCTATAATATTATCGCCATTTATGTAGTGCCAACAGATTCCGTAGCGTAAAAAAAAAAAAGGAACGATGGGTTGAAGAGGACCCTGCTCAAACGAGCTTACAGTCTATAGGAAGGGTAACATACTGTATTCTTTTAAATTGAAAAAATTTTGTGTTCGAACTGTTGAATAGATGGATTGTGCTAAAATATCGGTTCTTATTGCAAACTTTATAGATTGATGGTCTATGCTTCAACCACTTGGGAACACTTATATTGTTACATTGTGACAGGCAATGAATAACATTGGTGCATTCAAAGAAAGATTTCTGTTAAATGTGTACCAGAGTAAAGCTTGACAATCTTATTTTTATCACCTGATCATATTATCTAGTCTCCCCTAAAAACAATTCTAATACATGACTGGATATTGCCTAACTCAATAACACTGATCCAGCTACATATGTTATGGTTTTTGTTTTTTTGTTTAAACTTATAATTTAGATTCTTGAGCTTTATTAGACGTACATCATATTTCATCTTTTGTAGCTCTCCCTCTTTCTCCTATTTGCGGTCACTGTTTTCACTTAACCCAACTCATCTACAGAATGTGTTGTTTCTTAGGATAACTGTATTACACTCTCCACTTATACTTGCTGCCATAATGCTCGAGTAGCTTTGCATGTCTCTGTGTACATTACATCAGCCCATCCCCCTTAACTTTCTCTGGAATTTACTTCACCTATTTCTGCAGCTTGACACTCATCCAACCAAACCACTTCATTCCATCCCTTCCCCTGTCCCTCCCTTCTTGTTTTTACCATCCCCCCCCCCTTTCTAATGACATGTTCACTGTGGCAAACGCATTCATCCCGGAGAACCACCCTTTCCTTCAGAGCCAATGAAATGTATTCTCTCTTTCTGTCTGAGACCACTGGCGTGTTTATTTATTTTTTTGACCTTTAGCTAACTATTCAGATCCTGCCTTTTTTGTTTGCTATAAGCAAATAACACGAGTTAAGTGTCTCTGAAACAGAAGCTTTTTGACGAATATAAAAATATACTTTTTTTTGTGTGTGTGTGTGTGCAATGTTTACTTGACATTGTCTTGCTTCACATATGTGACAATAGTTAGTGTGTGTATAAACATCACATAAGACATTACATTTTAACAAATTATTAGCTTTAAAGTGTGTGTGTCACTTGAGCCCTGTGCTCAGAGACCCCCCCTTCCCCCCCCAATTAGATCACACTAGTAGACATGTTGGAAGTATTTACTTGTGCAAATGTATTTTTTTATTGGTTCTGTCATGTCTTTTCATTATTTAAGATGTTTCTGATTCTCAAACGTGTTTATGAATCCCTCTTTTTCAGCAAGATCACGGACCATCGGGGAACTCATAACACCGACTTCTCCATTTGAGCAGAAGTATGGCCGTGAAAACTGGACAGTGGCTTTCGCTCCAGATGGCTCTTATTTTGCTTGGTCTCAGGGTCACCGTATTGTGAAACTGGTTCCATGGTCTCAGTGCCTTAAAACCTTGTAAGTTAATGTCTATAGCTAGATGTATACTGTATTGCTGATTGACAGTCTTTGGTTCCCTGAACTATTATGCCTGATAATAAGCAAGAGCTGGATTGTGAGAATTAATCAAAGCTGTGGGAATATTGATCATATATTTTTCAGCAATTCCATGTATTCTTAAGCATAGCCACTTTCTATACTACATGATGAACAACATAATTTGCAGGTTTAACTGAAAAGGGTAACCATTATAATTTTGCATCTTACTTCTAGAACTTTGTCTCATAATTAACTAAGCGCTCCTGCAATTTTATTTTTATTAAACTGCGGATATGAATGTTTAGGTGCATTCATGAAAATATTGCAACAGGCACATAATTGGCTGAGTATTGGCATACAGTATATAATTGCTGAGCTTTGCAACATTACTGTTGGACTGTGTGTGGAATGCATTGGCCTTTAAAAAAAAAAAAAAAAAAAGAAAATAGAGAATAGGTTGCTTTCCTCCAGGGTCTAGGTAACTTGAATCTGGTTTTCTGAACACCCATTTCTCTTTTCAGTACTACTTGCAGCACAAAGAATAGTGTCAACTTGTCAAACACAAAGTTATCCAGGCAAGACAGTGATGGTGGTCAGAAAAATAAGCCACGTGAGCATACTATAGATTGTGGAGACATTGTCTGGAGCTTAGCTTTTGGGTCATCTGTGCCAGAAAAGCAAAGTCGTTGTGTGAATATAGAATGGCACCGTTTCAAGTTTGGACAAGATCAGCTTCTGCTGGCAACAGGACTGAGCAATGGGCGCATCAAAATATGGGATGTTTACACAGGTACTTTACTTCCTTCATATTAAGTAGTAGAACAGATTAAAAATATATATATATTATGGTATTTTTGTGTGTAGAACAGTCCTTTAACAATGCACGTGAATGTATGCATGTAACTAGACACAAAGTTAAATTCAGTTTTGTATGAACTATTAAGCCAAGCACATGTTTACATTTGTTCCAGTCAAACTTTTGTCATTTTATTATTGCAACGTAAACCTGGGTGATAAGTGTGTGTGTGGTTGTATTTGGGGAAACTGTAGTCTACTTTTATGGCGTCTTCCTCCTTTCTGGTAGGCGAGAAGGGGACGAGTCTTGTTATGGTTGAGCAGAGGCATTCCTGAATCCAAAGGTCACATGCTGATATTGGTGGTGCAGAATGTACTTTTTAACCATTTATTGCTGAAAAGAAAGCTGAAATATCTTCAGTGAAAAAATGTTTAACCCCATAAAAAAAACTACAATATTTTGTAATGTGCAGCTTTTATAAGCTCCCATAAAATTCCCATTTAAATAAACTGCTTTTGTAAGAAATATTGTGTATTAAAGTAAAGTTACACCTGTTTGTCTTGTAAACGTGGCTCAGACAATATTAAAGTTTGATGCATGAATTGTTTTTTTCCACTTTGGTTACACAGCACATAAATGTTTTATGATAAACCTTTGTTCTGTGTTTGCAATACTATCAAACTGATAACCCAGAGGCGTCTAAAGGCAAATAAGAGCATACACTTTTTTTTTTTTTTTTAAAGCTGTGTAGAAATTTACAAGCATCTAACAAGCTAATCTTAAATGAAAAGTGTAGCTAATGAGCTCTAATTGCTTTTTGAATTATTCCAGCAAGACCAAATATAATCGTGCTTCTTTATAAATCAATGGTAAGACCACACCTTGAATATGTGATCCCATTTTGGGCACCAATTTTAAAGAGAGATATGGCAGAACATGCAAAATAACTTTGGGAAATGAAATATATTTGTTACGAATAAAGGCTAGAGGAAAAAAAACTGTTTTCTTAACTTGTTATATACAATGTCTGTACAAACCGACATGTGCTAATGTGTTCATTAGAAATCTAAACCGGTAAAGGTTACCCATTGAAACAGGAAGAAAGGTGTTTTTGCCTTGCAACATGTCAAAGGGTTCTTTACGGTAAGAATAAAGATCTAGAATTTTGTACTCAGAGGGTTTTTATAAGATTCTATACAAATATATATAATTTTTTTTTTTTAAGCGTGGATGGTTATTTTTTGCAAAAACAAAAATATTCAGGCATATAACTGATATGTACGTGAAAGGTTGTTGATCCAAGGAGAAATCAGATTACCATTATGCAGTCAAGAAGGATTTTTTAAAATCCCATTTTGAGGCATAATTGGAAATGGTTACAACTTTTTTTTTTTTTTTTTCCTCCTTCTTCTCTCACTAGGCTATGTAACATGTTATTGTTTATTTTGTTGGTGGTATTGTGTAATAAGACACATCTAATGGATTTTACCCTTTTTTGTCCTTGCAGGAAGGCTCCTCCTTAATCTAATGGATCATACTGAAATTGTTAGAGATTTAACTTTTGCCCCGGATGGTAGCCTTATACTTGTTTCTGCTTCAAGAGACAAAACTCTCAGGGTCTGGGATCTCAAGGACGATGGTAAATTTGAGTTGTGTGTTTTTTTTTTTGTTTTGTTTTTTTCTTTGTACTAGTAAACTTAAAGGGACACTATAGTCACCCACACCACTTCAGCTCAATGAAGTGGCCTTGGTGTCGGGTCCCTCTAGGGTTAACCCTGCCTGATGTAAACATAGCAGTTTCTA